GAAACCCTCCCCCAAAATCAATAAAGAAATTTTCCCTAAAAAAAAAAATTAAATGAGCCCTTCTTTTTTATCTTTATTTTAAAATTTTTCTGTATGACCTATTTCTGTGTCTTGTCAGACATCATACGCAATGTAAAGGTTCTGTCAAAGATACATTAGCATCTTGAAGGAGAGTGTTAATGCTATCGTCTGTTGTCATTGTTAATAGAATGACTTTAAAGAAAGCATACTAGGATGCCCTCATGACAGAGCCCAGTTTATTATGTGCTGGGAAATTAAGCACTACGTTCATGGGTTTTTTAAAACTCTTGGGAACTATCCAGTATAAGAAAGTGGTTTTAAAAAAACAACAATTGGGAGATTAGAACTTTTAAATCTAACATTTTAGAGAATGAACATTTTCCTCATGGGGACTATTACTTTACCTGCCTTTCTAGATATTACCAAAAATGCATTAAGAGAACTCAGTATTAAATAGCAATTGATAATTTACTATGATTTTTTGCTCCTGAAATTCTTAAGGAAATGGCCTGCACCCACTACCTCTGATTTTCTTTGCTTCTCACTTACACCTCCTACAGTCTGGTTCTTATCTCCATCAGTGTGTCGTTTTCACAAACAGCAGAAGTAGTCCCCTCAGGCCAAATTGGTGAAACATTCCTCCAGCTGCTTTCAACCTCAGATTTCTTCTGAATTCATTTCTTTTGAGCAGCAATGTGATCTAGGTTTGTTTCTGGTTCTGTTCTGTTTTGTGTTGTTTTTTTAAAACACAGATTTGACAGACAAACATCTCATTTTAGCCTCCAATCCTTAGTAGCTGTGTGACTTTGGGCAAAGTGGCCAGAGGTAAAAAATGATTATAATAATAATCACTGCTTATCACTGATCAGTGATAATTACTTACATTCTTGCCATGAATACTGAAAAGAAAAGTGTATGTAAAATGTCTGGCTCATTATAGAAACTTTCTCTCCGATCTCTAATTTCATCCTACAAAACCTGTTTTCTTAAAGAATTGAGCACATATTTTAGCCACTTCTGCTCACCACCATAATGGAATACCCTAGATTACTTTTTTTTTTTCTTTTCAAAGTTTTAATCATCTGCTACTGTCATCTTTGAATGACAAATAACTTCTCAAGTCAATGTTTATTAAAAAACTATTCATCCCCAGATTTAGCCTCTTTTTGCTAATCTCTGCCAATTTTTATACTTCTTCCAATTAGATGTCTTGCCTCTCACTTTAGTACTTTCTTAGTTACTTTCAATGTTTTTGCTTATTTTTTTCTGTCTTTAGGTTCCTTTGATTTTATGTTCTCTTCCTTTCTTCACACGCATGAACACATGCTACTAGAAGGTTGATCAAAGTTTAACTATGTTAAATATCTGATTAAAGTTTTCTCTAATTTTCAGTTTCTTTCCTCACTAGTTTAACTATAGTATACACTTTTTTCTTTCTTTTTTTTTCTGTTTTTTGTTTTTTGTTTTTAGTGCAGGACAGAACTTGAAACTTGTGGTTCCCCACCCACCCACTAGGCTATTTTTCCCTACTTAGTAAAGCAAGAAACCAGTATAACCAGTATTATAAGCTTCACTTTCCATTTGTAATCAAAGAAGGAAAATTGTTGCTTCCTGCGATGATGAAGGTGAATCATCTAACTACCAAAAGGACAGAATATCAAACTTTATATGTGCAGGGAGTGCTGGGAAATTTTTTTTTAATTTATATAAGAAATATTAAGATTAGAGAATCATTATTTCATTTTGAAACTAAAGAAAAATGAACTAAATGTTGTTAGCTAATTATAAACATGCCTTATCTTTATATTGTCCTTTAAGGAAATTTATTCTATAACAAGAAATCTATTTTTGTAGGAAAGTTAAAATTTTTGAAAAACACCTAAATTGTTCATTTGCATCCCATTTCATAAACCCAAGTAAAAGCCTTCTAAGGACTCACTCTAGAGAGTTGGGTCAACCTGTGGAAATTAGGCTGTTTTTAAGCATAGGTCAGCAAAATACAAAGGCCCAGCAAGTAACTATTTCCAGCTCAGTAGACCATAAGGTCTCTTACAACTTCTCAGCTCTGCTGTAGAAGCGCAAAAGCAGCCATGGACAGTAAGTAACCAAATAGTGTGGCCTTGTTCCATTAAAACTTAAAGTTATGCACTTGATTATATGTATATTATACTGCAGTAAATTTTTTAAAGTCACCAGGCAAAAGATACTACTAGAGATTTTCCCCAACATTTCTAAAGAACAGATAATGCTTTCATTTTATAAAGTTAGAGTAATTGTTACTGCCAAACACATAGAGATTAATTTTACTTATGAAAACAGATATAAAAATTTTAAATAAGATGTTAATAATTCAGTCTTCTATCAAAAATGCTATATCATGAATTGGTTTATTCTGAGAATGCATAGAAATTTCAACATAAGGAAGGCTAGCAGGGTAATTCTTCACCTTAACAAGAGAAAAATATATGATGAAGTTAAATAGGTATTTAATAAATTTAAAAGCTGTTTAGAACAAAATAAGTGCTTAAGCAAACATAATAGAATAAAATTCTTTAGATGATCAAGAATATTATATACATACATATACATATATACATATGTAATGTAAAGACTATTTTAATGTAAAGACCACTTTACTATTAGTGAAGACCACTATTAGTAAAGTGGTCTTTACATTACAAGAATATTATATACATACATATACATATATACATACGTAATGTAAAGACTACTATATTTTACTATTTTATCTATATTTTCACCAGCAACATCATACTGAGTACCCATTCATGATTTTATAGTATGCATTGATCACTTGGAAAATATTGGTTCACTGAGTTATGCAGATCTTCCAAACGTCAACACATTTCATTACATAATATTGAAAAATCAAATTAACTAATATCACCACTGATGCTCATGGTGGTGAATAAAAGTTTTCCAAAATTGCTTGTGTTTGAATTTTAACACCAAATACTATCAGTTATTTTTCTTGAAGTTGCAGGCTTACTTTGTTCATTTCCAAATCTTGTTTCATTTAATTTCAAAATTTGATTAAACACAGTTTTTCAGTCTTTCTTTAAAAAAAAAAATGGTGCTTCATAAACAAAGAAGCTAATTTGAAGCTCACAATTCAATCATGCAAGTACTTTTCCTGAGACAACCATCATACTTTAGTTTGCCACAAACTGCTTCATGTAATGTTCTCATTTCACCACCCAGAATATTGAAAAGGCATGTTACTCAAAGGATGTTACTGCCTCATCAAAGAACACTCTTCAGTGAAACCAACTGAAAACAAAACAAAACCAACGAGGAGTGTCTGGTGGTAAAGAATACACTGACTACCAGTGCAGCTTGATGTGACTGTCTTGATTTATGCTAAGCAGCCTGAATTTGGGTCCAGTAATGCCACCTCCTTAGCTCTGTGACGTTTACTTAATTCCACTGAGCCTTAGTTTCTTTATCTGCAGCATAGTGGTAAAGTAGTATTTCAACCACATAGGTTTCCCGCAAAAAATGCATGAAGTAAAATTTTAAATACCATACACAATGCCGTGACACATTTTACGTGCCCAATATGTAGTAGATGCATTTCAAATATACAGACTGTAGTATTACTAAGAACAGCACTTCAAATGAACAATCTGGCTCTTGTTACAACCCACTGGGGAGTTGGCTGTCAGAATTAGAAACAAAAGCATCATTTTGTCTTTTACTTTGTCTTTCTTATTTGAGAAGACATCCAATTGTGTTACAATGACTTGGCTATCTTGTTCTTAGTTTCCCAACTTCCAGAATGAGAATAGAATATTCTTTTGTCCCAGCAGTTGGGAGGCAAAACCAAGGTGGCCCAGACTATAGGAAGGAGTTTATCACTCATGTATTTTCTGGGTTTTAGTTTATGGGAACTGATTGATACCTATAGGCCTCCAGCTGGTCTCAAGTAGAATGTGGAAGGGTTGCATGATATTAAGAAACATTTATTGAGCACTCTAAGGGTCTTTGAGAAAAGCACTTTGTTTAGATTCTTATTCTTAACCATGAATCAATGTTTAAATTTTCAGTAATAATATATAGTAGCCCAAAAGTTAAGAGCTGATAGTCATTTCTGGATGATGAGGTTAATAGTTAATTTTCAGTTTCTTTTTTATACTTTTTTTTAGGCTTTTCTACCTTCAGCATTTCCATTTACTGCTTCGAAGTTATTTAATTTTTTTAGAGGAAAAATTGCAATGAACTTGGTTTTTGACATTTTTATTAAAATTTTGTACAACATTTGAAATTTCAAAGGATTAGTTAATATTTGAACAGTGCAGTCAACTTGGCAAAGGAAGAAAATAGACTTCATTGTGGTATTAACCATTCATCCAAAACTTTTAAGAAAGAAAGATGATTGCCTCCCCCAAAGACATTATTTTACTCATCCAGCATATTGTCCTGGACGATAAAACACTGTAATTAAACATGTGCTTAAAGCTCTGCCACCCATTGGCTATCTTCTCTTGTCTTAACAAAGAGTACTCAGATCAGCCATGGAGCAGCCATTATTGCAGCACAAAGTTTGTAGGTCTCGTCTTGACATCACCGAAAACTTCTTTGACCCTCCAAGCCCTTCAGTGGGCAGCTGTTCATACTGAAGGCTTCCCTCCCCTGTGGAATCCACCTTCGGAAGGTTTTGTGCCATGCTTCTCTCAGAAACCTCATGTTCATTTGGAAGCCAGAAGTAGTTTCCTCTCTCAGCTACATGGAAGAGAAAAAATACTTCCTTAGAGGACCTGGCAAAGAAGGCAGCAACCAAGCTCTATTCCTGGGGAAACAGTTTAAATTTCTGAAAGGAAATTGAATCCCACACATCGCTTTTTAAAAAATGTTGGTCTGGTTTTAGAGAGAATAGAAATCATGGGGAGAACTTAGTCATCTCCAACCCCCTCATTTTTCAAGGGAGGAAACATGAGTGCAGAGAGGAATAGTGACAGAACCAGTGTCACTCCACGAGATAGCAGCCAAGCCAAGGCTTGATTTCTGTTGCACTGGCTACCTCTGCTTCATGACCAGCACCTTCCAAAGGTATTAGTTACATACGATAAACAAAAAAGAGTGCTGTGTATGCCCTGCAAACTGGTCAGTAAGAAAGGAAGTGGAGATTTAAACCTCTATGTCTGAAAATAAAAAGTAGGCCCCGCTACTTTTATCAGAGTGTTGTTCTCAAAGTCCTCTCTCACTTTAATTTCTGTCAGACTTACCTATCAGTACCTTAGTGCACTGGGAAGCACCAAGAAAACCTGTATGAATGAATACTGATTGGTAAACCAGTAATAGATTAAATAAATATAGATGGGAAAATACTCTGATTAAATAATGATGCTAAAAAAAAAAAAAACAGCCTTATACAGACATCCGTTCCATTGCCTCATGAGTTTCATAGATATTCCAAATGTATTTTTTTCTAGTGTATTTTGATTTGCTAATATAGAGATTGATAAATTATGGTAACTGGTAAATTATGCTTACTTTTTTGGGATTAAAAACCCTTATTATTTCTGTTAACACCTAATAACTCTGTACCTCTCAAAATTAAAGTGGGAGTGATAAGTTCATAATATTTCAAGAAATTAGTCCACCAAAATATGAGAACTGCTGGTCATTTTAAAAAATATTTTTATTCACCAGTCATTTAAAACCAAATTGAAACCTTTACAATCATATATGTAGTTCTAACATTTATTATGTAACTGTTTTCCTTTTTTAACTTCACTGTAAAACATAGCAAACACAATCTATTATTAAAATACAATCTTAAATTCTGCCTCACACTTTAAGAAAGAATTCCAGTCAAACTTCTAAGTTATTTGAATTAAAAAAATTATGAAATTCAATGGAATCAGTCTCCTCACTATTTCTGAAACTCATTAGGTTCATTCCCACCTTCAAAATTTTGATCTGACAATTTCTACGGCTAGAATTCTCACTAGAATTCCATTTCACCTCACTCCTTGTAACTCCCCAAATTCTACACATCCTGTAAGGCCTCGGTCAAACACCACTGCCTCCACAATGCTGTCATTTATTACAACAGTACACCATCGTTTTTCTCCCACCTGAGACATGGTGCAGAATGATCAAAGACCTCATCAGTTCTTGAAGACAGACAGATCTCGTTTGCTCCCTAGCCATACTTCCTACTAGCTAGATGAACGATTTTGCCCTCAGCAAAGTGGTAAATGGTGGTAATATTACTTACTTCATAGAATGTTATCAGAAGTCTGAATGAAATATTGTACATGAAACTACTGGCACTCAATAAATGCTCAATAACAAATTCCTTCCACCCTTATTTAGCACCTGCCTGAATTCCAACTTATTATATGCTATAATTATCCATATGTGATAATCTTGCTACTCCAACATGCCCCTTGAAATCATAGCACCTGCCATAGATGCTGAGCTTGCTGAAGTAGTTATGCAATCAAATGAATTCAAGATGGAGACAAAAGAAAACAAGGTCTTTATTTTTCAGAAGATAGCAAGATCACCTTTTTGCCAAGCCAAACTCAGCTTATTTGATAATTAACCCCCTAAACTGATATAGAAGTAACTTAGCAGTAATTAGAGAAACAGATACTAAAACAGCCTGAAAAAAAATGAGTCACATGAGTTAATGTTACCTTGCTGAGCAAGAGGGATCCCTTCCAGGTCCCTTCTCCACCTGGAGCTAGCACAGATATAGATGACTGTTCTTATGTACTCTCGCCCACAGAGCTTCAAAGGCTTCTCACTCCTCACTTCTGAGGTGGCAAGTAAAACAGAGAATAGAAATAAAGCAGAAATGGAGCCCAGCATTTTGCCGAGAATTGAATGAGAATCTGATACAGTGAATATGGCCAAATCAAGATTTGATGTGGCTCTCATACTCTTGTCCAATTTATAGTAACTTTCACGAAATTTTATTGGTCAGAACTTCATTTGAACAATATTTGCTAAGCATGTAGTTTCCACCATGAAGTTTTAATAATGTGTTTTTATGATTATTGCTAGTTATTCAGTCACTTCTGACCACTATCACTTACCATTAGCTGCATCCGTGAGACAATAAACAGGACTGTCTTGGAAGGGCATCATGGAAAACACATAAACTTTGGAAGTAGCTAAACACAAGTTTACATGTCAGCCTCGCCACTTACAGAGTAACACTTACGGGCAAGGTTTAAACTCTTTAAACCTCAATAACAATATCTCTAGAATGAGAAAACATATCTCATAAGGGTTTTGCGAGTGTTGAAAGCAAGATTTATGTCAAAGAAATGAGAAAGCAAACTTAAGAGTTAAGGTTCTCATGTTTTGCATTTGAATCTTGGCTTCCTACTTACCAGATCTAGAATCTTAATCAAGATATTTAAACTTCCCAAGAACCCTTCTCTGTAAGATTGTGCTGATGATAGTAACTTTCACATAGAGCTAACGTAATAATGTTTATCCTGCTTGAAAAAATGAAGTCCATACTGTTGATTATCTTATTCCCTCATGATTGAGATAAACTAGAAAAGGTAACTTTTCTTTGGAACATAGAAAAATTTCTCTGACCTAAATCTTCTTTATTATCCTTCACCCTATGACTTAGGTATGCTTTTATCAGCACACATTTTTATAATAGAAAGCTGAATCCATATAACTCTCAAAATACTAAATAAGGTAATTTCTCTTCTTGTAAACATCCTGAAAGCACTAGTTGTTGTAGAACTCTTACCTAAAATGAGAAATGCTGGAGTTTGAGATCTTAAAGAATTGCTGGCTTACTTTTTAGCAAATTGAACAAATACTTTTTTAGTTGATTCTGTTGATTCCTTGTCTGTGATCTCTGGTTGAAAATAAACGTAAATATATATCACCAATACTTCTTGCGACATCACCATATTTCTGTAGGAAAGCCAGAAAATAGAACAAAGTTTTTTATTCAAAAAGTATTTCTGATTGAAAGTATTTCTGGCTCTGAAATATAGACATATTATTTCAAGGAATTGTTGTTTTTCTCACCTTTCTGGCTTCAGTATGGATAACGGATTAAGCAGAAGAAACAAAGAAAAGCTTTTGCAGTAATTTAGATGAGATATGATGGTGTCTTAAACTAAGATCATGGCAGAGAAGGTAGGGCTGACGGTTATTCAAAAATTAGAAGGGCTTGGAATTAATCAGGTATCAGGGGTAAGAAGAAGAGGGCAGCCAAAAATGGTACTTAGGTTTCTAGCTTGCACAACTGAGAGGTAGGGGGTCATTTGCTAAGAAAGGGACCAAAGGAGCAGGAAAAAAAAGACAGCAGATGGCAAAGTCATCTTGATGGGGCAAAATTGCAGATAAATCTATGTCATTTATCAGCTTCAGAGGGGCATCAGCACAACCAAGTCTAGCACACTCACATCAGTAATTATTCAGTCTCTTATTACCAACTTCTCCCCTTCTTTGGAGATTTATTCTGCCTATCTTGATAACGCCAGTTTTAACAAAGCACTGCAATAAAGCTGTGATGGGTGGCTATGGGCTAGGCTTATGCACGACTCAAGAGAGAACTATTCAGCCAAGGGATGATCACTACCGTGGATGTCAAATACACTCTGGTACCTCTAATCCTGCTATCACATTCCCTTTGATCAAAATAATTTCCTCTTCTTCTAACTCTTAAGGCCTCGTCAGAGCTCACATTAATTTGGGATGCAGATAAACCAGTAAGACCTGAGTTCAGCTTGTGAGCAAATGTAGGCTAACTAATCACTCAGGTAAGTTACCCAGATAAAAAGTTTTGCCAATAATGAAAGTCCTAGCTGTGGGGCCTCAAATTTGGGAGATTTATTTTTCCCTCTTTGTGAATTGAGAGAGTTAGACTGAATTACTTAAGGGCTCCTTTGAACTTGAAATTCTAAGTCTTGCTATAATTGTCTGATTTTGTTACTCCCACCTCAAAAACTTTCAGTGGTTCAGCATTACCTGGAGAATAAAATCCAAACAGTCTGACATTTAAAGCTATCTGCTCAGTTCCCCAAATATCACCCCTTCCACATATTTCAAGGTTCAATCAGAAAGGATAAGCAAAATGAATTAAATATTTCCATCTTTTGATCAATAGTCTGTTGCTTGTACCTCTAACTGGAGCACTCAGTCCTTTTTGTTTGGAAGTTGACATGACTTTTCCTCCTCATCTAGTCTGTAACTCAGTTTACTGTGTAGCTTTGAACATGTAATTGTCTTCTCTGAGGTAAGTTTCCTCATCTGTAAAAAGATAAAAATATTCATTTTATGTTGCTGTGAAGAGGGATTAAAGCAACAAGTAAAGCAACTAGCATAATATATGATGCTTAATAAATACTCAATAAATTAACGTGATATGCAAAAGGCTAGAAAATATAATTTTTGGTTACAACTAGCTACTATGGATGGCTTTTATGTATAACTCTCAATCTCAAAACTATCCATAACTATGCACTGCTCTAGTCTTTTTCTTTCCTTCCTTCATTCTTTTCCTTCTTTCTTTTCTTCTTTCCACAAATAAGTTCTAAACAGGCAGAGCCTTAGAGTGCTGTTTCTTAAAGCGTTTTCTTCAGCACATGAATCTTTGCAGATACTCTTTGAAAAAGGAAGTCTCATATTAATAGTCCCTTTCTAGGAGATTAATAATGCAAATTAATACAGTAAGGGCTCAGATAAGACTTATAGTTAAGAAACTTGTTTAACTTTGTTTTGATTCAATGTTTCCCAAAGTTATTTGACCCTAGAAGCTCTTTCACCATGAAATTGGTTAATATCTGGAAGAGTCATGAATTTCTAAAGTAGATGTATTTCTAAATCTCTTCCAGGTACATAGTAGAATTATATTTCTCTACTCTTTAAAGTCGGACATGGCCATGTGACTTATTTTAGCTAATAAAACATGAGTGAAAGTGACATATGTCACTTCTACTTGGCATTTAAGGACTGGTGTATGATTCCCAAGTTCTTCCTCTTTCCTGCCTTTGTGACCAACAAAATTTCTAATAAAGAACTTTGGTCTCTGAGTCAGAACAATATGGAGCAGGGCTGCCTGCTGACCTGTAATGAACATGTAATGTGAATGTGAAATAAATCCTTATCATTTAAAGCCACTGAGATTTGGCAGTTATTGATTGTAGCAACATAACCTGACTTATCCTGACTAGTATAATTAGTTATTTACATCTTACATGTGTAGAGAATGTTTATATGATACATGTTTTTAGAGCAAAGCAAGGCAGTTAAGTTGGAATTGCCACGTGCTCAATATGATTGATTATATGAAGGAAATTCCAAATTTTGAACCAAAATTCCAAATTAACAGTCAGATACTGGGTTCAGTAAACATATCCTTTACCTATATGCTGCCTATGAAGGAACTGTGGCTGCAGATGCCTAGTAGATGGTGTTTGGGGCAGATTGGCATAAGAGTTGTAAAACAATGTCTGTGGCATCAGATTGGGAAATCAGATCTCAGTTCGGCCATTTAACATCTATATGCCTTTGGAAATGCTTAATGCATTTGAATCCTAGTTTTTCATTTTTAAAATGAAGATAATACTGAATTAGGGTGGTTATCAGGATTAAACTATGCAACTATGAAGAGAGTGCTGATCAGAGTTTCTAGCACAAAAGGAAGTTTAAATAGATTGATCATTGATGGTATTGACAATAGTTATAATTCTACCAAATATTACACTGTGTCATAATGGCCTTGGTGTTAGAATGCTAGTTTTAGTCTTGTTACTCTAGTTCCTAGATAGAGCTTAAGAAAATAATTTAAACGCTAATTTGAGTTCTAATTTGTCACATAGAAAAATATCACAGGATCAAATGATGTAATGTTAATTATGGCACTGATAAATTATAAAGCATACCACATAGTTATTTTCCAATACCTATGATTATGAAATCACTATATAAATGTGTTAGCAAACACTAATTTATTTTTATTCATTTCCAACACAGAATTAGTATTGCTCATCCTTGGCTAATATTCATATTTACTGCTTCTAGAGGGTGTTTTCATCATATGGCACCACTATTCATCCAGCTATTCATGGAAGTCATTCACAACTCCTCTTTATCCCTAATTCTTCATTGACGAAAACCTCTTCCATTCACACATATCTATTCAATCACCAAGTCTCATGGGTTCTACCTTCTAAATTTCTTTGTGATCCACCCACTGCTCTCTATCCCCTCTGCCATGATCTCAACTTTCATTTGGATGACTGCAACGGTCTCTTAATTGGTCTTCTGTCTTCCTTCTATTCATTCTCCACACTGCTGCCAAATTGATCTTTGCATCACATGTGATTATTTTATTACCCACCTTGAAAACTCTTCAATGGTTTCCCATTTTCTTCAAGAAAAAGTCCAAAGTTTCCTTAACATGCCTATCAGGCCTCTCATGATCTGGCCTCTGTCCACTTGTACAGGTTTTAGACACCCTCAAACTATAAGTGGTCAAGCTATGACAAGCACCTCACAGTTTTTTGAAAGCCCGTGTTCTTTCTCCATCTAGGCCTTCGTGCATGCTATTTTCATCCCCTCTTTAAATCCAGTTAACGTCTAGTCTACAAATATCTACATATGGGTATTGAAATACCATTTATCTGATAACTTTTCCTATGGTTTTATGAATAAAGCTCTCTTACCACTCCCCTTGGTGATTTTTTAATTGCCTTATCAGTAAGAATTAAAACAAGCAGCTAAATTAAAAAAAAATCTTGGAAACAATAATTGATATGTAACACTTCATTTTTTATAGACAGAGAAGCTATTTTTTTTTTATGTTTTGGTGTGATTTTTGGCTTTTAAAACTTGATAAAATAATAAGTAATCAAAATATGTATAATAATTTGGAAAATTCAATAATTTAGGGATCACATATCAGTGAGTCATGATATGTGATCCCTAAAAAATCCTGAATTGCTTTGTTCTTCCTGGGATGATGGTATCATATCTTTTTACAGTTAACCTGTTCAAAGAAGATACATGGTGAGAGCATATTTTTCAAAAGTTATTCTAGATGTCATATAAATGTCTCATCAATTTTTTTAAAAAGCAGTACTCATCTTTATAAAATTCATAGCCATGTTTTATATGTTTCAACTTAATGGACATGTTCTGCTTTCTATTTAACCCAGGAATTAGTTTCTCGTAAACTGTTAGCCTTTTAGTTTTATCACCAACAGAGTGTGCCAACCTAAGCAAATGAAGGCTAAAAGCCTAGGAAATGTTCTATGGATTTAGGGGTGGATTTGAACATAATACTAAATCTTGAACAAACAAGACACGAAGCCCAAATATTATGTAAAGGAACAAATGAAGTCATTAACACTCTCTCCCACAGGAGGAATGGGGCCTTGGCAAGGACCCAGTTGGCTGTAAAGAATAAAGGGTTCTCAGGCCAAGTAATGGGGATGTGATCTGGGATAACCAGAGAGAACTGCCATGTTTGAGCACCTCCATCATGTCAGGCATTTTGCTAAATGCTTTACAACGGAGAGAAATCATGCCCCAAATGGTCAGTGGGAGCACAATATCACAAAGCAGCATGAATACTCACCTAAAGAAAGTGATTACTAAACCGTATTTAGTTTTTGTCTTGAGGGAGAAAATTGATTTTATAATGTTATAAAACAAAGAAAGCTATAACTTACATTTGGCAACTTTCAAAGCTGATTTTATGTTCTATATTTTTTCCATAGTTAAATGTTTTACCCTCTGTGATGTTAAGATATTTTGTTAAGATATTGAGGAAATAACTTTTAAAACATTAGATCATGTTAAATATGGGGCAAATATGAAGCAATCAATTCTTCCATTTGGTAATTAATTCAGTCAACAAATATTTGTTGCAATCAATCCTCTGTAGAGGTACTGTTCTAGGTGTTGGAGACACAACAGTGAGCAAAGCACATAATCTCTACCCTCAAGGAGTTTACAACCTAGGAGAGGCTGACACCAAGCAAATAATCACACAAATATTTAGCACAAAAGTATGAATTTCAACTCAGAAACTCAGGTATCCAAGAAGTATATTTTCTATAGTTCAATTGCTAACTCCAAGTCTTCATTCCACCCAGCTGGCAGAAACAAACAACATGCAAAAAAAAAAAGTTAATGTCAGTCCCTCAGAACTGGTTTCCTTCCCTTTCCCAGGATATAATTCTAGCATCTTACTCTGTGCCAAGACTCTTCTAGCATTAAAAGTTGCTTCTTCAAACTGATGGTTGGCCAGATGGGATAGGGGTTGGGGGCCTGGGTGAAAAGGTGAAGGGATTAAAACGTACAAATTGGCAATTACAAAATAGTCACCAGGATATAAAGTATAGCATAGGGAATACAGTCAATCATATGGTAATAACCATGTGTGGTGCCAGGTTATCAGGGGGATCACTTCATAAATTATATAAATGTCTAACCATTATGCTATACACCTGAAACTAATATTGAATGTAGACTGTAACTCGAAAAAAAAATTATAAATAAATAAATATAAATGAATGAATGAATGAATGAATGAATGAATAAAAGTTTTTTCTTGCTGGGTCACTAACCTTTCAGCTGCCTGGCTTTTACAGCTCCACTTGTTTTTGCTGCTTCTACACATCACTCATTGAATAAAGAATGGTTTTCTGAGGTGGACTGTGGTCCCACCTAGATCTTACTACTTCCTGGACGTCATTTAGAAGCAGGACATAGGTCTGTTCTATCGACCCACAGGCCTCTCTTTTCTTCATCCCTTATCCCCTTCAGCCCTGAGGAAATTTCAAATTTATCTTCATGTTTAAGACACTTGGAGCAAATTTAGACTGGCTGGGTGGTAGGTCTTGTAGGAGGGAGATCAGAAAAGGTTCTCTGGAGAAGATGAGCCTGAAGGGTGAGTGAAGAGTTAATTAACATGTTGAAAGGGAGGGAGGAGCAGGGAGGAGTGTTCCCAATAGATGGGATTCATGTGTCAAGGTCCGAAAGCAGGAAAAACCTGAGAAAAACTAAGTTACAAGCATTAGCATTTAGTAATAAAACCTTAATTTTAGAAGAATAAATACTCTTGTGTTTTGATATATGAGACCCCAGAAAACTTTATAGGCACTAACCATTTACTATGCAATAGTGGAAACTGTATAAGAATTTAAAGCCTTGGACTTGAGTTCAAGCCTGACCAGTACCAGATATATGGTCTTTGGTAAGTTATTTCACCTCTGTAAGCCTTAATTATATCATCTGGAAAACAGAGATTATGATAATATTACAACTACTCGCCCCACGGGTCTCACAGGATCATCGTAATGGTATAACAGGATAATGAATATGGAAGTGTTTTACAAACTGTAATGAACTTTAACATGTACAGTATTATTGGTATATTGACAACTAAATCTTTTCACAGTACAATTCAACATTTTTTAGATAGACTCTTATTGACACAAAATGGCAAATACTAAGTGTTCTATTTCTCATTTATAATTGTATGTATCTACATACAGGTGAATCAAATGAACGCACTAAATATGGTACACAATTATATAGTAGTGAATACATTCTTTCTTCTCTAAAGCAGTTGGAAAAGCAGCTAACAATTTACTCTCAGACAACAGTAATTTAAGTTCTATATGAGAGATACCTGGTAGAGAATGACAAAATCAAGTGATGATTTCCTAGCACAAAATAGGAGCCTAAAGTTAGCCCAGTCACCACACTTACCTTAGGCCCTTAACTAGCCCATTGGTATTCTGTGCATATGTGTGTGTTTCTGTGTGTGTAAAGTTAAAATGAGATGGCTAAAAGCTGAGCAGAATTCTTATTCAATTCTTAATATTTTATGGTAAACTCCACATCATATATCATCAGAGAAATGCAAATTAAAACAATGAGATACCACTACACACCTATGAGAATGGCCAAAATCCCGAACACCAACAACTCCAAAGCTGATGAAGATATGAGACAACAGGAACTCTCATTCATTGCTGGTGGAAATGAAAAATGGTACAGCCATTTTGGAAGACAGTTTTGGGGTTTCTTACAAAACTAAATATACTCTTACCATATGACCCAGCAATCACACTCCTTGGTGTTTTCTCAAGGGAATTGAAAACCTATTCCACACAAAAAACTGCATGGATGTTTATAGTAACTTTATTTATAATTGCCAAAGTTTGGAAGCAACAAGATATCCTTCAGTTGGTGAATAATAATTAATTGTGGTACATCCAGACATCATTATTCAGCACTAAAAAAGAATGAACTATAGAGCCAAAAACAGACATAAAATAACCTTAAATTCATATTAATGAAAGAAGCCAATCTGAAAAGGCTATGTACCATATGATTCTAACTATATGACATTCCAGAAAAGGCAAAAGTATTGAGACAGTGAAAGATCAGTGATCGCTGGATGGAGGAGGGGAGAGATGAATAAGCAGAGCACAGATGATTTTTAAGGCAGTGAAAATACTCTATATAATACTATAATGATGGGTGTTTGTCATTATACATTTGCCCAAACCTATAGAATGTACAACACTTAAGAATGAACCCTAATGCAAATGATAGACTTTGGGTGATTATGATGTCAGTGTAAGTTCATCACTTATAACAAATGTACCACTCTGGTGAGAGATGTTGATAATTGAGGAAGACCAGCCTTTCAGAAAGATAATTGAGGAAGCTATGTATTTGCTGGGGCAGGTGGTATATAAAAAAGTCTCTGTACCTGCCTTTTGATTGTGTTGTAAACCTAAAACTGTTTGAAAAAAATGTCTTAATTTTTTAAATTTTGTGGTAAATAGAATTCACTAGTGAGAATTCAAAGCTGGCCTAGAAAACCAGCAAAATAATGCCTTCTGTAACTTCTGTAACTCTCAAGTGAAAGATGGGAGAGTCTACAAAATCAGGGGTGAGAAAGGTATAATGAAATAGGTTCAGTGCTTCAGGATTAGTTGCCCAGGATACAAAAAATATAAAAGAACTTTATTTTTCATTTAGGCTTGATGAGCAATGAGAGTTAAATATGTAAAAGAATTTTAAAGATCAAAAATACATAATAAAAAGAAACATTTTTTTCAATTAAATCAAGTTTTTATTTTGTTGCACGAAGTGTTATGAAAAGACCAACCTTTCAGAAAGATAAAGAGAAGAATCACTATAACTTATACCAGAAGAAAATATATAATCCTTATAACCTGACCTAAGCTCTCAGTCCATCTAAAAGTTTCCTTGCTTTCTCTTTAAAGGATAGTTTCAAAGAAATGGAGATTCTGAAGAAATGGATACTTGTAAAAGGTAGTTCTCACTACTGCTTTGATTCCATTCTGTTTTTATATATATTTTTCAGAGAGGTTAGTGAATTTTAAATGTCTTATCCTCTTCTCTCTACTTAGAATGGTTTATAGGCCATACTGTCCTACAGCCTCAGTTAACAAAATTCAGGACTTGTTAAAACAAACAGCATAGAACAGACTGTTAGCAATCTATATTTGGAGGAGTTACTGCCTCCCACTACTTCTATTTCCACAAGCTTGCCCTAGAACCCTTTATAAAATAACATCCTGATGCAAACTATAGATCAGGGACTTTATATTTTCTCTCTGGGCCCACTTAAGTCTGGGTTTAAAACTGAGAGCAGATACTGGGTGTGCAGAGGAGGGTACCCTGATGGGTCCCAGATTAACTCTTCTCACTGAGTTCGAAGTATGATGCCTGCTGGCCAAATAGTGGAATTTCTGACGTTTGCTGTCATGTCTTTTGCTTTCATATAGTCTAACGAAGATCTATAGCTTCTGCTCTCAGATCTAAGGATATAAAATTTAGTTTAAAGTTAGATATGAGAATTCTATATTTTCTTAATACTAACACCTGCATAATTCACACACCCTTGAATACAGAGCTTGGAAGCCTTAAAAAACTGAAGATTAAAAGTGTATGGAACTTTGTCTTAAAAAATATTTTTTGAGTAATTCTAATAATTTCTAAGCTTTTCTTCTAAAGGAATAATAACTTTCTACTACAATTAGACATTTTATAAGTACATATATATGTATATATACTTGGAATATGATTAAGAAATAGAGTAGGAAAATCTTTTTAAAATTATGAAAATCCCAACAAAACTCTTATAATTAGCTTACATTATAAACTAATCACATATCTCAAATAAAAGTTCATTAAATTTACATTAATTTTAAACAGAAGTTATACATTAAATATTGTTTTCCAAAATCAAAATCCCAGCTTACTACACACAAATCAGACTATTGGATATTAAACACTGTTCCCTTTTCTTTAAACAACAAAAAAGATATCAGTAATGATGAATTATCCTGGTTGGTTTGATCTGGGTCCAAGCAAAGTATCTATCATATCTCTCTGAAAAGAAAAGAAGTCACACAATTACAATGCAATAAAATACAAATTAACAGGTAAAGTAGTCTTTAAAACGCCATTTAAAATTTATAAGTTAGCGATATCCATATAAAGGGCATCCAATAAGATTGCAAAAAGGAAGCAAGCCAAGGTAAATTTAAACAGTAACAGTTACTTCCTTATATAAACCTGATCTTTCCTGTGAAATATTCTTAATGTGTTTGATTAACAGTTTTATAAAGATTCAGTAAAGGGACAATTTTGACAACAACTGTTTAGCCTTAATGTATAAACCTGAATTTTCCCATCTGTAAAATAAATTTTAATGATATCTTAGGCTCTTTCCTGATCTGTAGTACTCGATTTAGAGAGAGTAGAATGTCTGAATTTCCATATGGATGAGTTTTTAAGAAAGACATCATGAGAAGATGGGAACTGGAAGCAGAAAACTGGAGTTTTCTCTACCATATAGCAAAAATAATTATGAGAAAATCACTGATAACTGGGAATCTTAGTTTCACTGAATATGTAATGGAAATATTAACATCCACTTCTAAAGATTGTTATAAGTTGATTTAGTTAACGTATGTGAAAGTGTTTTATAAAGTAAAGAGTTATAAACACCTTAGATAATATTACATAAGTCAGTTCCTGTACTTTTAGCTGGCATTTCCCCATCCTCCAAGCTCTGACACTCCAAATTGGTTGCCAAGTTGCTTTTCAAACCCATTTCTTTCTAGTTCAGTCTCACTTGGGTAAATGTAATAGATCACTACTGTAATTTGTTCACTGTTATATTCTTAGTGCCTAAAATAGACCCTGTCATAGTGCATACTCAGTAAATATTTGTTGAATGAATGGTCTATTTTTTCTGCCATCAGTATCTATGTATATAACGGATTTATGTTTCTAAACCCCATTTTAAAGATTTCACTTATCTTTTTATTTTTTCTTTAATTAGAAAAAAAGTGTAAATACCCAAAGTACAGAGAAAAACATGAAAAACATTTATACACTGAAACATAAGAGTAGAAATAATGTCCAGGAGTGATTCTCTATAGGCTGCCTTCAGAAAAAGAATTGTTTTATGCAATATCCCCATTGAAATGGACTTCTGCCAAGTGTTTAAATCATAAGTCAATGCAAGACTTAGGCCCCTAGCAACCAACCTCCATCATGCCATTAGAGGAGTTGATGCTTCAACAAACAATAAATGCTAATGTGGAGGTAAATCCTGTTGACAGCTAGCTACATCACAGTTATAATTGCAAAGCTTGAACCCCAGGCTCCTGTTCATGCCAGGCACTAGGCTGATGTCACCCCTAATCATGAACCCTGAGTTGGTAGGACAGGACTGGAGCCAATGCTCTGCCATGTCATATCACAATATTATTCTGGTTTTTGATCACATCAGAAAGAGGCAAGAGTTCAGAAATCACGTAGCTTAAAACTTCCATAGCCCAAGGATCAAAGTCCTTCTCCTGCTGTGCAAGGCCACGGAGAATGATGGGCAATGCAGAGATGAGGGGGAGTTGTGGTCCTAAAACTGCTATTGATCCTATCTCCATGGGTTTTCTCCCAGGGAGCCCTGCCTTCAGCACACCTGGTGCATGTGCTGTCTGGTACTTTGCCTTTGTAAAACACATATCCACTCCAAATCAACAAATGTCATTTTTGCCTTGGATTTTATTTTTTAGTGAAAGAAATAAAACCTTACTGATAAAGTTAAAGTTTCCTTTGTACCTCCTCCCCCAATCTTGTTCTTTCCTCATCCTTCCCTTCAGAAGTAACCTTTATCATAAATCAATCTGGCATACATCTTTCTTACAGAATGAAATCACAAGCCTGTCAAAATTTTGATTCGCTCCTACTTAAAATTAATAGAGAAATTATAGGTCATAATATTACTTGATATTTTGATAGCAAATAATGGTTTGACATTAATTACTTTGAAACTTCAAATTACTGTTATGATTATAATTCTTCTCTGAAAAGCTAAGAAAGAGGTATATCAGTTAAGTCTGTGTTTGGCCATAAGTAACATAAAAAGTAATTAATAGTTTTTTGTTTCGTCTCCCAGAAATACAATCCTGAACCTCTAAAATGTTGTGATCAAAAGCATGAAAAACATATTTGTATTAGGAAAGCATTTATTTACTAATGTATGGAATATATTTGTTAAAAGAAAATATTGCTCACCAGCATTGAAACCATTAACACACACACAGACACACACACTAGTTTGTCAAAAATGTTCAGATTCTCTGAGCTTAGCCTTCTTTCTGCTTGTAGATTATACTATTCAAAATACAAGATGTCTCTAACTGATTCAGATACAAAGACAAATATGAAACGTTTTTCTTCCACATTCCAGTCTATACTTTAACTATAAATATGCCCACTAAGAACACAGTTTTAAGTTTTGTGATTAAATATTACATAAATCATAACATATTGTACTTACTTTCCTACAATCTGCTTTTATCATTCAACACTGTTTTTTAAGATTAATTCAATTTTGTCATATTGACACATTGAAATATACATCATTTAAATTTCTGTGTTATAGCCACTCATGTGAATGTGCCATATTTTATTTATCCAGTTCACTGATGATCATCAAGACTGTTTTCAATTTATCAATATAGAAACAAGGCTGTTATAAACATTCTTTGTTAATTGGCATGTCTTTCAGGCCACTATCAATGAATTAAACAAAGCCTTGGGAGATATATATGATCAAAACAGACATCATTTAAACATCTCTAAGGGTTCTAGTCCTACCAGATAAGAAAACTGTAGTAATTTAGAATTAGTTACACAGTAAATTAAGGGATGCAGCAACATACGCAAAGTTGCAGATCTCTGTGAGAAGAATGGAGAATGTAAGTAATATGAAACTAGAATCAGGAGAGGGAGGCTTTGAGACCACTCCATGTGGAGGACTCTAACAAACCAACAGGGCTCCTCATGGTAGCCAAGGTAGTTAGGAAAATCCTCTTAAATGTCCACAGTCAATATGCATCTCAGCCAGTTGAGAGAATAATCTTCAAGACTTCTTAAAATATTTCATTTATTTCTTTATTGAGAAAACATATTTTTACCCTGAGAAGAATAAGAATGTGTATAGAAATGTAGCAAACCAAAAAGATAATTTAAATATTTTTTATATTAAGGAATTTGTATATATCTGGTATTTTAAATATCCATTCATTATATATAAAAGAATTTGCCATATTAAATTTTCTAACAAATAAATTTGTGATTCTAATTTAAATATGTTATTAGGTAATTGATTTAGACTTCTAATCATAGATTGAAATATTAATTTGTAAAGAGTTATGAAACATTTAAGAAAATTTAAGATTTATTATATTGAACATTTTAAATTTATTAAATTAATAAGAATCCCTAAATATCTAAGATTTGTTTGCCCATAAGCAATTGAAGTACTTAAAAATCCAATATATTATATTTATAAGTGGAATTGAAAGGATTTGAAGAGATTCGATTCTTACAAAAGCTTACTTAAAAGTATGTATTAAAATTTGTTGGACTTATAAATAAAATAATAAATACATAATCTAAATGCAAGAGCTTAAGATTAACTAAATTTTTTAAATTTTGTAACATATTTGAAAGTGAATATTTTAAGTGAAAGTAGACTAATTTTCTCTACATAAAAAGAAACATGAGAGAGAGAGAGAGAGAGAGAGAGTAAAGGAGGGAGGGAGGGAGGGAGGGAGGCAGGAAGGAAGGAAGGAAAGAAAGAAGGAAAAACACATTACACTGATACCTTAGGTATGTCTCCTGGTACAAATGTGCAGGAGAGTCTGGTATCATTGGCTTGTATAGTTTTTGAATTATCAGTTTTATTGAATTACTATCCAAAGAGGCTATGCTAATTCATATTCCCATGACCCTTGCATAAGAATTTCTAATTCTCTATATCTTTGCTGATATTTGATATTGGTTAATGTTTTAATTTTTGTAAATCCAATCAGTGTGAACTGGTATCCTGCATAATTTTAATTGCATATTTCCTCATTACTAGTGAGAATATTGTTTTATAAATTTATTTGATATTCATTTCCTCGCCTGTGATTAAAACCTTATATATTTACCAATTTAAAAACTGAATTGTACTTATTGTTTTGTAGGAGTTGTTTACATATACTAAATATTAAATGTCTTTTATATATCTTGGAAATTTCTTTTTCAAATTTGTGGTTTTTTTAATGTGGCATATGGAATCCTGAATAGAAAGTATTAATTTTGACATAATAATCATACAAAGAATAACTGAGGTTTATTGAGAGCTTACTAGTATCAGTTCTAACTACTTTGTACCTATTTACTCATTTAATCTTTCTAACAACCTTTGATTCTGGTCCCAACATTATACATATTTTATAGGTAAAGAAATAGGATAAAATTTTAAAGATTAGGGAATGTTTTGAGTCTTTTTTTTTTTAGTCTATCCTGCCATTAGACCATTAAGACATTATCCTACATTTTCTTCTAGTAGTTTGTTTTATTTTTCACAGTCTTAAATCCATTTGGAGTTTATCATTGTATAAAATGTGAGATAGAGAGCTAATTTCACTTTTTTCCCCTATGTGATTTCTAGGATAGTAAATCTTAAATGGCTTTCCATTTTCTATAGAATAAAGATCAAACTCATCATCATGGCAGTCATATATTTTCTGGTCCCATATAATCCAACTGGCCCTTTCGCTGCTTTTCTCTCAAGCAATTTCTTTACCAGTCAAAAAAGTCTACTCGCCATTTCTTTAAAATGCCATGTACCTTTCTAATTTTCTATCTTTGCTCAAGCCTTTCCCTAAGTCTGGAACAACAGTTCCTCTTTCTTGTCTCCAAGGGAAAATCCTACTCTTCAAAGCAGTTGAAAAGTAATTTCCTATGTGAAAGTGTTCCCCAAAGCATTCTTATTCCCATTCTTCCCTTTTCTTCCTCCCATTCCCCTTTCAAAAGTCAATTATTTTCCTGTTCTGTGCTTCTATAGGAGTTTGTTTATTATTTAGGTCGTTATGACTTTATTATATTTCTTGAGCATATATTTTCCCTTTCTTAGAAACCATGACTTTTGTTTGTAGGTTTGTTTAATCAGACATTTATTCAACATTTGCTAAATGCCTATTATGTGCTAGCACTGTACTAGATACTTAAATACAAAAGCTTCCAACAGCTTGAAATATTTAAAAAGACTTGTATACAAAATATTATAACTTATATTGATAAATTATAGTACTCGATAAGTACTCCATAGATGTGTGAGGAAAAGAACCAACATGCTAATTAATGCTCACAGATTTCTCTTTTACTGCTATCCTAACACATCCTAACAAAGATTTTAGAACAACTCAACTCCCCCTTCTCACAACCCAAGTTCAAAGTTTGTGGACAAGTTCTTAGAGCTCTTGTGGGATAGAAGTGAAAGAATTACAGAGACCTAAAGGGATGGATTTAGGCCTTGGGGCTACTTTAGAATTTGAGGGAATATGAACAGAAGAAAAAGGGTTACTATGAACTCTATATTTGGATCCATTTTAATGTTTTTTGAGAAACCTGAATAAAAAATATAATTAAAAACATTTTTTGGCTGTTGAATTGTGTATCTTAAATAAGATTCAGTGTGAGCACAAACACGCTAGTACCTTTTAAAATATCTTGTACACTCATTTGTGAAAAAATAAAAAATATTAAATGTTTTATAACATGAAAAATTAATCCATTAGGGTTGCATTCCCCAGAACAGACTGAAATTATTATATAAATAGACCAATGAATTTTGAAAAAAATTTTATTAGTGTAGTGATTTGGAAAACAGATAAGTAAAAAGACTAAAATTTATCCTTGGTCCTATTCTAAGAAATAATGTTTCTAATACGTTGATTCTTTTCTCTAGTTTTTAATGCATATTTATTCAACAAACATTTATTGAGTAACTACTACAAGCCAGACACTGCACTAGGTCGTAGGGATACAGCCCAGAATAAAAGAGACGAAATTCACTGTTCACAGTTGTGGGAGACAGGCGATTAACAAAATAAATCAATAAAGAATATGGTGTACTTAGATGAGTGTTATTAAGAAAAATAAGTCATGAAAGAGTATTGAATAGGAAGTCTGGGGAAGAGTAGAAGTGCAATTTTAAATAAGGTGGCCAAGGAAGACTTCACTGAGAAAGTGACACTTGAACAAAGACTTGAAGTGGGAAGAGCAACAAACCCTGTGGATATTAGGTAGAGAGAATGACAAGTACAAAGTCCTAAGCATTTTTTGTTTGTTTGTTTGTTTGTTTCCTATCTATTTATTCATTTAATATTTACAGTCAAATAAATGGTTATGATGGGGGTGAACTCCCCTTCCTATAACTGACCAAAGCCTAATCAACACTTTTGACTTCCTGGCCACATTTCCCTCTGGTTGGATATTATTTCCTTCTTCTTCCATGTTTTGTTTCTTATCCTATCACAGATTATGCTATAATTAACTTCTTTGATTGCCTTTATAAATATTTCTGTACATGAGAGTCCCAGAAGTGGCCAATCTTTGTTCATATTGCTAAATTGCTTCCATAGAAGTTTTATCAATTTTTATTCAAATCATCACTATAGGAGAGAACCTATCTTTTCCAATGCTTGCCAGTACTAAGCAGTCCCATTAAAAAAAAAAAAAAAACCTGCTAACTTGATATATGAGAATGCTATTACATTTTAATTTAAAGTAATGCAATTTTATTGAATTATTAGTGAGGTTGAATTTTAAAATATATTTACTAGTCATTTTTTGTGAATGGTTTCGAACCATTACCTGTTCTTATACTAGAGTCCTAGTCTTTTATTTTCTTATTGATCTGTGAATATTTTTAACATGTTATTATAATCATTATAATATTTACCAGATCATGCATAAAATAGCAATTTAAATATAAAAAAAGAAAAAATTGAAGTTATCTTAAAAAAATGGGTATCTAGTAATTCTGATTTACTGGATTTTACAACAAAGTTTTGACATTTGAAGACTAGAGTAAGGGAATAGGATAATGCTATACAACAGAAACAAATGCTTACTTCAGGAATATTGGATAATATCTAAAATATTACTATCATATAAAAGTCTGAATATTTGCAGTAAACTTTCTCAGCTATATTTAACAATTATTAAGCCCCAGTCATATACTAGGCTCAATTTTAAGTTGTTCCATATAACATAACTATTATGCTCAACAATATTAGTATTCTCGTTTTACAGATAAAGAACGTGAGGCTCAAAAAAAACAAGCCTAGTAGGTACTGTACCTAGTAGGTAACAACTCTTGGGACTTGGGTTCTTTCCACTGTACCACAGTTAAGATATTTAAGAAATGTAAATTCCTTGCGTTGAGTAATATTTGAATATTTCAACTGAACAAAATCATAAAACGACATAAAATTTTGACTTTTGAGTCTTACCCGGCCAGAATCTGAAACAGTGGGCATATTTCTTAGTTCATACACAGCAACCTGTCCATCATTGTCTCCTACTAGAAGGCAATCTGTTTGTTTGGCGAAGAGAACAGTTGTGAACTTGATTCCAGGGTTAGCAACATTCACAATCAGAGGGTCCAAACTGCAATGAATATTTTATTTGTAAAGTCAGTTGTTGTTAATACATTCTTTTCATATGCAAACTAAGAAAAGTCTGAAATATTTTTTGTGATTTCATGTTCCAAAAAACAAAAGCTTCTCTAAGTATTTCCAAAATCAAAATAACTGCTTAATACTCCTTATTCAATCAAAACTTTCCATTTTTAATGAACTAATTTCAACTAGATAAATTAAAGCAATTTATAACTAAGATGTGAACTCATAAATTTAAACTCCTGTGATGGTTCATTGTATGTATTAACTTGGCTAAGCTATGGTACTCAGTTGTTTGCTCAAACACCGGTCTACACATTGCTGTGAAGGTATTTTTTTTTTTTAGGTGTGATTAATATTGAAACCAGCAGAATTTGAATAAAGCATATTACCTTCCATAATGTGAGTAGATTCGACCAATTTGTTGAAGGCCTTAAGAGAAAAGACTGAGTTCCCTGAAAATTCTGCCTCCAGACTTCCTGTAGACTCAGGACTGCAACACAGACTTGGGACGGAAATTCAAGCTCGCCAGCCTGTCTTGCTAGTGTGAGACTTGCCAGGCCCCACAGTCATGTGAGCCAGTTTCTTAAAATAAATCACTTTCTCTCTCTTTATTAATTTTGTTTCTCTGAAGACCCTGACTAATATAACTCCTTAAATAATCAATGTCATTTAATAGAAGAATATTTTGATCCAAATAAACCTCTGAAACATAAAATAATATTTTGAACAAGAACTTTTTCTACTCTTGTTCATCCGAAGCAATCCACCAATGCCCTTAATAAACAAACAGAAGCAGCAACTTGCAAGTTTCTTCTGAAGAAATGCTGTCCTGGGCACTACAGTTTTACCAGAAAATTTTAAATCAGAGGCAGGATCATTTAAGTAGCCACTTTACACTCTAAAATAATTGCTTTGTGAGGTAATCATTGATTTTTGATTCAAATTGTTTTATAGAACAAGCCATGACAAAATTTTAAAGTTATTAAATTATTAACTTCTAGGGGGAAAAACTGTCATTAAGAATAAACCTGTTGAATTTTACATATTTATTTTAAACAAAAATGTATTTCCTTGCTCCTTCTGCTAATAACTAACATAGAGATCTACAATATTTTCCAACTGAAGAAGTAGAATCAACAAAAACTTTATTCTAGCATTGTATAAACTTTCATATTAAAAAGATAGATGGGTCTAGATGACACTCTAATAACTTTGGTGTAACACCTTAAATCAAAAATTTTAATTAAATGCATGCCCTTTTGAATACGTTTTGAAACAAGGTAAGAGAATAGGTAAATATTGTAAAAATAATTATTTTGTTCCTTTTCTTTATCTTATTATAAGAAATCTTCAATTAAGACCAATCAGCTGCCTCTGCATTCTTCTTATAAACAAGGCAACGAAAAAGAATTCAAGGTAGTTACGATATCCTATAGCAACCTATAATCATTTGAGATGAGTAAGATAATCTATTTTGTTTAAAATATTTTTAAACCACATATTGTATAAGTAATTAACATTAATATACTATCCTAGAATATATTTTTATTCTCAACTCTCACAAATTAAACATTATTTGTTTTAAAGTAACTATAGTTCTAACTGATGTCAAAACTATCAGGTATCATTTAGTTTGAATTGCTTCTACTAGAAATATTCCCAAGAAAAATATTAACACTTACGTGCTGATATGAAGGTCCCAAATCTCCACTCTGCTCTCATTCGCAGCTGCAAATATATAGGATGATTTTGGAGACCAGGCAACATCATAAACAACGTGAGTAGTTGGATAAAAACTCAAAAATGGCTTGAGATTCTCCTGCTGCCATATAATAACACCCCAATCTGCAGAACAGCTTAAGAATACATCGAGACAAAATGGATTCCATGCTATTTTATAAACTGGACCCTAGAATTAAAATAATAAATTAAAACTCGTAAGTAAATAGTATTTAATATTTTATACTTAAAACTTGATCAACCAACTAAAAATACTAAGATTTCTAGAAGATTTATGCACCATGCATTATTGTGTGGGTATTATTTTAGCTGAGAGTAAGGTCATAAATTGAATCTTCCTTCAATTATGCCATACAAAAACATAAAAATATAATTGATACAATACTCACTAAATATTAATATATGGTATACTTATTTACTTTAAAAATATAAGGAGTATTAAGAAAAAGATAGAAATGGAGAAAATGAAAATATATCTGGAACAATCATAAAAAATATGTAGAATAGGTATATGTCAGAGACAATTTTACTTTAGCATCAGCATATTACCATAAGCAAAGTCTTTTAGAAACAAATAAAAATTGTGACTTTTGTAACTTGCAAGAAGAAATCGAGGATATTCAGAAGCCAAATAAAATGCCCCACACATTATCGGTGGTTTCTATACAAGAAAGCACTTATTTTGAGTTGGATTTTTAACTCTGAAGCTGTAAATTTATAGTATATTAAAAATACTGTGTATAACAATACTATGGTTTCAGAAATGTTACAAAATAAATTTTTCATACCTACTATAATTAAACTAACCTTATGTCCTTTGTAGGTATCTAGGTATTGTTCATTATATGAACAAGAACATTTGTGAATATGACCTTCTTCAGTGCCGGCCAAATAGATATTTGTGTCCTACAACACACAAAAATCAGAATGCATTGGCTTATAATACATTAGTAAATATGCTAAATAAGATTAGACCATTCAAAATCTATTTAAAATCAATTCTAGAACCAAAACTAGAAATACTATCTTTAAAAAAGTTGTCTGTTGTCTTTTTCCTTCTATCATGATTTTATTATAATTAAACTACTGAAGGACTACTGTGTAAAGAAAACATAGTTTTTTTCTTTGCTGGAATAGAGGGTAGAATTTAGTAACCTGTCTAGAAATTACATGAACAAACAGTAGCTTAAAACAAGGAAGAAGTGTTCTAACACTTAGAGCTACCTGGCAATGGAACTAGCAGTCCAAGGAAATAGTAAGTGTTCTTACATTAGAACTAGTCAAAGAAAAGACAGGTGACTTAACTATTTATGACTATAATGCTGAAGAAATGATTCTTGCTGGGAAGGAGAAATTGACTAGATGATGTCTCAGACATCTTTAACTCTAAATGTATATACTAAATAAGGATTTTAAATATATTTCCTACAGCAAAGTCATAGTTAAAAAGTCTGAAAGTCAACGTTTTATGTCTTGGCTACATAGTCAGCAACATCTGCGAGCATTTTAGACCTACTGGATCAGAATCTGCATTTTAACAAAATTTCCAAGTAATTTATATGTATGTTAAAGTTTGAGACACACTGCTCTGGCGTATACCGTATTTACAAATGCAACTACTAAATCATGGGGTATGTGCAATTTCAAATTATACAATAAAGTACATTTTTTTCCCCAGAGTAGCATTACTAACTTATATTTAGCAGTAAATAAAAGTTCTCTTAAATCCACATTCTCTTAAACATTTGGTTATATCAGAAATCTTAAATTTTGCCATCTGTTAGATGTAAAATTAACCTAATGGTTTTTAAGTTCCATTTATGTGAATATATTAGGGAGTTCTCTCAGGAAAAACCTCTTTGAGATTACAGGAATGAACAGAGGTTTGCACTATGACACAGTTGCAAGAGGGCTCAGCAAAACCCTCTTGCTCTGGAGCTGAGACATCTTTTGGGAGTCTTGTCTCTAGGCAAGGAGGCCTAGACTGCACCCCCCCCACACACATCCCACCACCACCAATAAACTAGTCAGGTAAGATGATAGACTCAAACCAAACTGTATCAATAATCAAACTAAACATCACAATTAAAAGGCAGAGATTGTAAGATTGGATAAAAAGGCGAGATCCAACTATGTGCTGCCTATAAGAAACACACTTTAAATATAAAGATACAAATAAGTTAAATCTAAAAGAATGGAAAAATGATAAACCATGATAACACTAGTTAAAAGAAAGCTAGAGTGGCTACATTTTTATCAGACTAAGTAAATTCAGAATAAAGAATGTTATCAGTTATAAATAATGTTATTTCATAATGATAAATGAGTCAATTAATCAAAAAAATAATAATCCTAAACATTTATATACCTAAAACAAAGATTTAAGATATATAAATGAAATACTGATAGAATTACAGGAAAAAAATAGACAAATCCACAGTAATGGTCAGAGACTTCAATACATCTCTCTCAATAATTGATGGAAGAAAAATGCAGAAAACCATCGAGGGTATACTAAAACTTGAACAACACCATCAACTAACTTAACATGATTGATGTTCATTGAGCAATCCACCCAACAGCATAATACACATTTTTCTCAAGTGCACAGAGAACATTTCCCAGTAAAGATTACATTCTGGGCTTTAAATCAAATCTCGATAAATTCAAAATTATGCAGTTTATAAAAAATTTTTCTCTGATAATGATGAGATTGAATGAGAAATCAATAACAGAAAGATCCTTGGAAACCCCTCAAACATTTAGAAGCTAAATAACATGGTTCTAAATAACCTATTAATCAAAGAAGAAATCAAAAGAGAAATTAGGAAGTATTTTTAACAGAATGAAAATTAAAATTTATCAGTTTGAGGGATGCTGCAGTATTTATGGAAAAAGTTATAGAACAAATTCCTATATTAGGAAAAAAAGTCATAAATCAATGATCTCAGCTTCCATGTTAAGAAATTAGAAAAAGAAGAGCAAATAAAATCAAAGTAGAACTTACGAAATAATAAATATCAAAGTATAAATCAATGATATAGAAAAGAGAAAAAGAATAACGAAAATAGAGAAATCGAAAGCTGATTCCTTAAGATCAATAAAATTAATAAATTTCTAAACAGACTAATCAGAAAAAAGAGAAGATACAAATTACTAACAGGAATTAGATGATAGTACTATGTGTTTTATAGCTATTAAAGGATAAAAGAGAATATTATTATGCCACTAAATTCAACAAAATGGATGAAGAAGACAAATTCCTTGGAAGACACAAATTACCTCACTTAAGAAGAAACAGATATCATAATAGCTCTATATCTAGTAAAAAATTGAATTTTTAGTTAAGAATTAAATATCTTCCCAAAAGAAAGCTACAGACCCAGATGGTTTATTAATTTTACCAAACATGTAATGAAAAATACTACTACTTATATGAAAAGTCTTTCAAAAAAGTCAAGAAGAGGGAATATTTTTCAACTCATTCTGTGAGGCTAGGATTACCTTGATACTGAAACCAGACAAAGACATTACAAGAAAACTATACACCAATACCCCTTACAAAAAAGATGTAAAAATTCTAAACAAAATTTTGGCATATTAAATCCAACAGTATATTAGAAGGGTAAAACTTTCAATAAATAGTAATATAATAGGATCTTTTCGACCTAATTAATTGCTAAAATCTTTCAGCTTATATCATACTTAATAGTAAAAGACTGAAAGTTTTCTCCCTAATATGAGAAACAAGACAGGGATATCTGTTTTCACTTCTATTCATCCTTGGGCTGGAGGTTGTAACCAGTACAATAGGGCAATGAAAAGAAATAAAAGGTAACCAGATTAGAGAGGAAAAAATAAAACTTTACAAACTACATAATCATCTTGAATTCCTTACACCAAGGACATTTCTAAGACACCAGACTAGCATTTCTCAATCCAGAACTATTGACATTTTGGGCCAGTTAATTCTTTGGTTGGGAGCAGGATGAGGACAGTGCTTGTCTTATTCCCTGTAAGATGTTTAGCAGCATTCCTAGACTCTGCTCATTAGATGCCAATATCTCAAGACATTGTGAAATGTCCCCTGGTGGGAAAATAGCCTGCTCCCTGTTCAAATTGAGAAACACTGTTCTGGAGTTGATGAAAAGTAGATTACAGGAATTTGAGAACGAAGGTAGTTAGAATATGACAGCAGTGTTGTAAAAGTGAAACATAAAGGCCTGAACTACTTTAGCAGTAGTAAGCTTGGACTGGAAGGAGCAGGATGATAAGACTTAAATACTATCTGGATGATAGGGCAGAACACAGTAGGAGCCTAAGTTTGGGATTGTATAATTAGGTGGATGATGGTGTTACTAAAGAGATGACTGTATTACATATAACAAAAAACACACAGGACATATTTTCTTAACAGTGTGTCATAATGGCTGGATTTTCTGTTTCCAAAGAACCTCAAGATAAAAATAATTTGAAAAAGTAGAACTCCCTTAACTGTGCTTTGATTTGATTGTGGTCTTGCTAAGCATGAACTTAAGTGGTCTTCCTGATCCCCAGAATCAAATGAGTTGCTACTTACACTGAAGTTATAGAGGACTATACAGTGCATTTGGTATCTATCTGTATGATAGAGCAGCAGAATACACAAGAAGGGCAAGGAAGAGCACTCAAGTTAAACATGAAGTTTTAAAGAGGATCTTGCCACATAGTTCCTTAGAATTACAGGCCTTTCCTCTAGAAAGCAGATAAAGATATAGTATAGGAAACTAGGTGTGCCATTCAAACTTAGGTTGGCAGCTATGTTTATTTTTTTACTTACAAGGCACAATATTAATTAACGTACTAATATTTTGTCCTGCTTTATATCTTAATACACTTCAAGTATTGGAAACTGTTATATGCAATAATAAAAAATGGACTGAAATAATTTACCTTGGGATGAAAAGCAAAACACATTCCAGGAGCCTGTCGAGATATCAAAGCTTCACCTTTCTTTTCTTTTTCTCCTCCTTTTTTGTTGCTGCTGGCAGTAGTTCGCCTCAAACGCATCAAATCTTTATTTAAGGAAAAAATATGGAACTTATTTACCATATAAGACAGTATCATAAATATAATGTGCAAACAATATTATGATTTCTGCCATCTTTTGTGTGTGATTAGGTTAAAGTTAGCAAATTCCAGAGCTAGATGCTTTGAAAAACAATGACTAAGGCCAGTTTTTTTCTTATTTAGTAAAACCAATATTTGTCACCTCTTGTGGTTTACTAGGAATTTTTAATTCAACACATAACAAGAGAAAGATAATTTAATATATATGTATGTATGTATATATTTTTTACCATGACAGTCTAGTCCTTTCCGTATAACCCATTTGGAGATTCTTCCATCTGCTGATATAGAAACTAGTATTTCTCTTTTGTCGTCACCTGTTGTTCCTCGATCTTGTTCTATCCACTGTAGTTGCCATACAGGTCCCAAATGTTTTTGAGGTGATTCACTGTAACAGGGAAAGTTACTAAATATAGAATCATTATAATAATTTTTTTAAAAGAACTTTGAGTTTAAGTGATAAAGGTAGCTCTGTATAGCAGCATAAGCTACTTACAGAATGATGCTTTTATTTTTCAAAACTGGACTTTAAATATTTTGAAAAACCAAAAAAATCATTTTTTCACTTAATAGTCACTGCTATTTTTCTCATTTCTTATTAAAAAATTTTTTACTGCCTTTAATTACACTAGGTGTCACAATAGGAATACAAGAGCAAATATTTCCTTTCTTTTCAAAATCTATTTCACTTATTCTATTCATTTACTTTTTCCTAGTTAAAACTTGTTTAAATTTTATTCACTTCTCAATGAATTTTATCAGTGGATTTTAAAATCACTGAGGTTACTATTTTCCTAACAGATTCATGGGCTGCTCTGTTCCTAGTACTGACTTCCTTGATATTTTTATGCAAACTCTCGAAAACAATAGTTCTGAATCTTTTTAAAATCATAAATATCTTTGATTATTTGGTAAACATTATAGACCTTCCTGGAAATAAGCAGAAAGGCCCACACTTACAAAACTATACAGACAATTTCGAAGTTTAATAACCCCTGCTTTAATGCCTATTTCCATCCAGTTCTAGCTATTTATTCCAACACAAATATCAGTATGCCACCTCATTTTTGCCCCATTGTTATCTAGTCTATGACAGAAAACTAGCATATTCAATATCTTTCTCCTTTAATTTTTTTATTTTCTCAATATGACTCATCCATTTATTCATTCATTCTTAATGAAACACTGTAATCCTGCTAATAAATCTGATATTACCTGACCTACTAAAGATACAAAGGCAAGTAAGATTTAATCCTTGCCCTCAAAAAGCTTACAGCTTCTTCAGGAAGATACACACACACACACACACACACACACACACACACACATACATACATATGTATATATGTGTACATATATACATATATGTAAACAATTTATATATATCATGAAACATGCTGTGATAAAGGTATGTATAAGATGAATAAAAGAAAGAAATGGGAATTTTTTCTGGAGGAGGTGAAATTGAAACAATTAAGGCGATGAACTTTCAGTTATGAGTAAGTTCTGGAGATCTAATGTATAGCATGGAGATTATAGTTAATAATACTGTATTGTATACTTGAAATTTGCTGAGAAAGTAGACCTTAAGTGTTCTTACCACACAAAAAAAGGTAACTGTGAGGTGATGGATGTTTTAGGTAATTCGATTGTAGAAATCATTTCACAATGTACACATATATTTAATCATCACATTCTACACCTTTAAATATCACATTGTACAACCTAAATATATACATTTTTCTCAGTTATACTTCAATAAAGCTGGGGAAAAATAAATTTTTAAAAAGAGTAAGCATAAACTGTCAAGCCAAAGGAAGTTTGTCAGTGAGGAAGGCAGAGAAGGAGATGAAGGAGGTATTAGGACAGAGCATTCCAATTGGAGAGGCAGGATGAGGAATTATTAAATGTTAGAAAAATAATAGCATCACTCTCACTAACAACATAAACATTCCCTCAAAACCAAATAACATTAAATTTTCAGTTCTCCCTAAAAAAGCATGTATAATATGTTTATATTAGATATAATGGATTTATACCCATTTGTAACAGATTCTTACCTACTATCCAGAACTGGAACATTACTGTTGCTTTGTACATTATAAACTGCAATGGTGCCATTGTAATAGCCAACTGCTAAAAGATTAGGTGCTCCAATTGAAAAATCCACAGCAGTAACTCCATATGGACTCTGATAAATACGTTCTGGCCACTGAATTAAAAAATAATTACATTACATTTTAAACTTGGTTTTGTAGACCACAGGAAAGTAGGGTATGATGATGACTGAAATTTAGTGTGGCATTAGGGATGTGAGAGGAATTAGTCTATGTTCGGTTACCTCTCTCTTCTAACTTCCAATAAAGATGAGAACAAAACCTTTACTTTGATGAAACCTCAGAGCTCAATAAGTTTAAGAAATACAAGATGGGCTTTTACAATAATTATCATGTTTTGATAATCTTTCATCAGGATTTATATAACCATCACAGGTTTGCCTTCTTAAAAAAATAATGAATTCTAAATTATCTAGCATATATTCCTATCTTCCAGTATCTATTTCAGATTTTGGGATTATCCAATCACTTCTAAACAATAGAAGAAGCTCTAAAACTCTCTAAGGTATTCTTTTCTACAACTCTGTCAAGTGTTGCTGTTTTGCTTTGTTTCCATGTCTAATACAAATTCTTTCTTGTTTTTACACCCTACAAGGATAAGAAGATAACCTGCTGATGATGGATCTTATATCAATTTGTCCATATGTTTAAAACTGCTTCTTTCTTTGTTTTATGCTATGTAAACCCAGCTTCCTAACAGACTGGGATTATTTATAAAAACTCTATTTTTATGTGCTCTTCTGATCCCTTTCTAAGTTTTCCACTTTACATTTCAGTTGTGAATTAAAACTAAATGTAAAGCAATAAAATAACAAATTGACTAGGGCTACTGAGCAAAAAACAAAAACAAAAACAAAAAACATGACTGACTCGTATTCATTTCCTCTGAAAAATCCATGGCAATAAGAGGTTCATATTAATCTATTTTATATCTACTGAGGATGGCAGAAATCTATCTTATAAGGTGATAAAGTTATTCATATATTAAGAAACAATCCAATATAAAATGAAACATATAATTTCCAAAGGATTTTCATTTGCAAATCCATTCTTCTTTATAATTAGCCATGACAAACAATACTGGTTTAGCTCTGGATCATCAGATCTAACAGCACATCGTAGATGCTCAAAAAATATTTATTGAATGAATTTCTTTATCCCATAGCAACAAGAACAAATTTTAATTGTCCTTACTTAAACCAAAGGAAATAAAATCTTGCTTGAAAAACTTTTCTTGACTTTAATTATTACACACAACTATCCACTTTATAAGAATTATGCCAACATTTAATTAAATGTCTTATTCCTGTTTCGGTTACCATGGGATTCTTTATTGACCAGCAGCAAGCCAATCCTTTTTTTTGCTCTTTAAATCCAAAGTGCCCATAACCAACAGCCAAAAGGTCCTGAAAACCAGAAAAATACATTTAAAATAAGAAAAGATGGCATACAAATATTGGCAAATGAATAAAGATGCATATTGATGAACTGTTAAAAATTATGATAACATTTCAATTGAGAGAAAAAAAACCAGTATACCATCTATTTTTGCTCTATAGCTCCATCTTTCTAAGCAATTATAATAATAATCACATTTTCAGATTAAAGAATAAGTACCCAAAAAGAACTAATTGCTAACACTTTTTTTAAATATTAAGATAATCTTCCAAGATTGTATTATTACATTGTAATATCTTACAGGTTTTTGAAAATGACCTAATCATTTTAAATGTAAAATAGAAGACATTTTAATTAAAGACAGGTGCCATGGATTGAATTGTGTCTACTCCCCATAATTCAAACATTTAAGTCCTAATCTCCAATGTGATTATATTTGAGGATAGGGTTTTTAGGGGTTAATTGAAGTTGAATGAGGTCATAGGGTGGGAACCTAATCCAATAGGATCAGTGGCCTTATAAAGAGCAGAAGAGACACCAGAGCTCTCTCTCTCTACCATGTGAGGACATAGCAAAAAAGGCAGCCATCTGCAAACCAGGAGGAGAGCCCTCACCAAGAATCAAATCAACTGGCACCTTGACCCTTCACTTCCCAAACTCCAGAACTATTAGAAAATAAAAATCTGTTGTTTAAGCCACCTGGTCTATAGTATCTCGTTATGGCAGATTGAGCTCACTAATACAGGAAGTCATTTAAAGAAATGCTTATATAAGTACATATAGACAAGCGTATAATGATTGACCAAACAACCTCTTCTTTGTAATCAGAATACCTTTATAGAAAATATATTATTATATTTTCTTGCCATCATCTTACTTTCAAGCTAACATCATCTCTCATCAATTCCCTCTGCCTTAAAACACTCTTTACCACCACCCTTTATACTCTGCATTGACAAATTGTTATTCATCTTTTCTAGACGCGGCATAGGCACCACTTCCTCTAAGAAGCATGAGCCTCTCTCATGTGCTCCCGCAGCACTATTTATTTTCCTTATTAAAGTATATAGATAACTATTATGTGGGCAGGGTTTATGAATGACTAAATTACTACTGTATTCCCAGTGCCTTAACAAAGTTCCTGGCACAGAGGAAATGTTCAATAAATATTTATAGAATAAATTAATAAATATGATAGATGCCATCTGTCATATATTTTTAGCTTCATTCGCAAGCATTTAATTTTAATCTCAATGGCAACATATTAATTTTTTAAATACTAGTATATTCAGTTTCTAAATATGATTCATCTATTTATTAGTTATTGATTTATTAAATCTCACTTATCTACAAGATGTTTTCAAATATAGTTTTACAAAGAAAAATCTATAAAGTATTTTATTTTATTAAAAAATAATAAATATAATTTAAATAATGTGTTATTTAGGTTTCAACAACAATTACAGGTCTTCTGCTTTTTAATAATCATAACTATCATGTTTGCACAGAGTATCTTATAAGGTGTAGCAATTAAATAATAAGGCTAATTCTTAAACATATATTCAATATAGTCTAAAGAAACAAGTTAGTTTTGACCACTTTAAAAATACACTAAATATTTATTCCAAAGATACTGCTATTACACAACACTTTTTGGGAATCACTAGTTGATATAAATTGTTTTCAGAAACAATTTATAAACCCCAGGAGAAAATAAACCTCATTACTCTATAATCATCTCTTTTTTACAAGCAAACATACCTTCTCTCAGTTTGATGATTCAGCTAATTTGTGCCAAGATGATTTTTAGCAGTGCAATAGTTAAGAGCAAGAAACCTGGAGGCAGATGTCTGGGTTTAAATTCTAGCTGTTGCACTTACCAGTTGTGTAACTTTGGGCTTGTTATTTATCCTTTCTGAGCTTCAGTTTCCTCATCAACATAATGGGGAAGTTAATACCTAACTCATAGAGTTTTTGTGTTAATACAAGTAAAACGCTTATAATAGTGCCCGGTACATAGTAAGTGCTATTTATGTATTATCTATTAGTAGTGGTAATAATATTTTTAAAAATTTCAAAATTATTTTTGCACATTTGTAGGGTCATTGAATGAAATACATACTTCTGAATATAATTAATTTAAGGAGAATACAAAATTGGGTACATGAGTTCAATATATTTTAAAATAAGTCAATTATATACTATCTTCTAGTTCACTTGTCAATATCTGATATGGAGTCAGGGTATGTCATGTCCCAAGTACATCTCCTAAAATAAAAATAGTGTTTTTATATTAAAGGAGAAAAACATTTTTCTCTTTGCATTTTCCCCTTTTAGAAACATGAATTTGTTTTAGAGGCATTTTAAAATTGGGAGTTATGTCAATTTAAATACCTTGCCTAATATCGGAGAAAAAAAAATCTGCATTAGTACTTGACAATTGCCCTAATGCTAGAAATAGAATTGTCAATTGTAAAAATCTTCATTAGTACTTGACAAGTGCCCTTAAGTGCTAGAAATATTCAATAACTTACTGGATTTATTTTATTCCAGGAAAGGCTGCTCACATTAAGGCCTTTGGTTAAGTCACAGGAGAAGGACCAAAGTCGTTCCAAATTGGCTGGTATTGTTGATTGTTCTGCACCTATTTCTATTTCTTCTTCTTCTTCCTTCTTAACCTCTTCTTCTACCTCTTCAAGTATTTCACCTTCTAAAAAGTCTTCAGGCTCTTCAGGTTCCGGTTCTAAAATCAAACCAAATAAAAAGATTGTTGTCTTCTATACCTATACCTGTCAAAGGGTCCAAACACCATCTCTATCTACCACTGACACTTCCAGCACCATTAGATCTGCTGGTTCATACGGCCCAAGTGACAGGACACTCTGAATAGCTGCCTGGACCTGTTGCAGATTCTTCTGTTGTTATGGGCCTCACTCTAAGCTAGTAGCTTGTTAAGTCATGCAACAAATGCAACAGAAATATGTTACCTCCAAAATGCAAAGAGGTCCACCAGGCATTGTGCCTCTTTTTTGGTTGTAAGAGAGGCCAGATACAACAACTTATTCTTCATTTTAGAAGGTGTATTTTGACATAATCCACACAATTAGACCAGTGGAAATTTCAATGAGGCCCCTGAAATTTTGTCAGATTTATTACTCATCCTCTGACATGCAAATGTCTTACCAATAAGTCTACTTCTTGTTCACTAGTTCAGTCAGCATAACGTCATCAATGTAATGGACCAGTGAGATGTCTTATTGAAGGGAAACTTTCCTGCAGACTAAATTATGACATAAAGCCAAAGAGTTGATATACCCCTGAGGTGGGACAGTGAAGGTGTATTATTGGCCTGGACAGCAGAAAGCAAATGGCTTTGGTGGTTTTTACCAACAAGTATTAAATTTACAAACAAATTTTAAAAAAAAAAAAAAAAAAAAAATCACCATATCAATAGCTACACACCAGTTACCAGAGAACATATTAATTTGCTCAGGCAATGAAACCCCATCTGGAACAGCAGCTGCAATTGGCGTCACCACATGGTTAAGTTTACAATAATCCAGTTATTCTCCAAGATTCATGTATTTTCTATGCAAGCCAAATAGATTAGTTAAATCGGAGATGTAGTGAGATCAAGACTCCTGAATTTTTCAAGTCCTTGACGATAGAATTAATCTCCAAATTCCCTCAAGAAATGTGTACTGCTTTGATTTACTATTTTCATAGGTAAAGGCAGCTCTAGTGGCTTCTGCTGAGCCCTTTCCTCCCATAATAACACTCACTCCACAGGTCAAGGATCAAATGTGGGAATTATGCCAGTTGCTGGATTATTTCTCTTCCAAGAATACATTCTAGAACAGGGTAAATAACCACAGGAGGGGTTCAGTGACCCACTGTGAGATGGATCTGAGCGAAAACTTCGTTGATTACCTGACCTCTATAAGTCCTTACTCTCTGACTAGTGGACCACAGTGATGTTTTGGGTCTCCTGGAGTTAGAGTCAATTTAGAGCCAGTGTCCAGTAATCCCTAAAATTTCTGATTATTTCCTTTTCCCCAAAGCAAAGTAACTTTGCTTTGGGACCTTTGGGGAAAATATTAACAGTGTATATTTTTGGCAGTGAATTGAGATAACTTCTCAAATGGACCCAGATTTCATTCAAGAAGTTCTGGGTCTATAGTTCTGGCTCAAGTCTAAGAACTGGTTAAGGGGGTATGACTTATGTTGGTATTTCAAGTTACACTTTTGTTCACTTGACCTAGAACTGTTTCGCTCACACAGATCAAGTGAAAATTTAGAAAGAGACTGCCTGTTACAGGATGAGTTATGTCTTCCCAAAATTCATATACTGAAACCCTAACCTCCAGTACCTCAAAATGTAATGGTATTTGGAGACAAGAACTTTAAAGAGGTGATAAAATTAATATAAGGCCATTAATATGGGTCCTAATCTAATATGACAGGTATCCTTATAAGAAGAGGAAACTTAGACATACTGAGAAACACAATGTATGCACAAACAGACAGAAAAGACCACGTAAAGAGGCACTAAGAGGGTGATCATACACAAGCCAAGGAGAGAGGTCTCAGAAGAAACCAAACCTACTGGAACCTTGATCTAAGACTTCCTGTTTCCAGAACTGTGAGAAAGTAAATTTCTGTTGTTTAAGCCACCCAATTTGTGGTATTTTGTTATGGCAGCCTTAGCAAACTAATATACCACCTGCCTATTTATCTTCTAAGGATATCATGATCAAATAGCCAATGCCACAGACCTCTGCAAATCAGATTATGCAGGTTACTGCTTTGTCCATTATAGTACACATGCCTACATTTTCTTGGCGATTACGTGCTACTCCTTGGAGTCTGTCACCCCAGAATCCATTATCCAAATTGTTTCAGCACCATTTATTTAAAATCAGCCTTTTTCTACTGAATCACCTCAGCATGTTTGTCAAAAATCAATTGATCATATAGATCTGTGATTATTTCAGGACCTACTATTCTGTTATGTCTATTCTTAGACAAATACCACACTGCCTTGATTACCGTAGCTTTATAGTAAGTCATTTGTAATCAGGGAGGGTAAGTCCTTCAGCTTCATTCTTTTTCAAAATTGACTTGGTTATTCTAGGTCCTTTGCTTTGCCATATAAAATTTAGAACCATCTTGTCAATTTAATTATCTTTAAAGAAATTTAAAATGGTGGGAAATGTCTCTTACTTTTACTCACACTTTCCATTTCTAGCACTCTTCATTCCTCTGTGTAGATCCTAATTTCTATTATTATTTTCCATCAGCCTGAAGAACTTCCTTTAATATGTCTTGCAATGCTGGTCTGCTGGAAACAAATTCTCTCAGCTTTTGATTGTCTGAACATGTTTTTATTTCACATTGAATTTTGGAAAATATTTTGTATAGGTGTAGAATTTTTCAGCAGAGTAAAAATGTCATTGCATTTTCTTCTGGATTCTATTGAGAAATAAGGGCATTATTTGCTTTCTTCCCTGAATGTAATGTCTTTTTTCCTGGCAACTTTTAAGATTTTTTGACATACTACTTACAATATTTCTCAATGTGTTTTTTACTGTGTTTATCTTGCTTTAGTTTCATCAAGCTTCTTGTAATTGTTGGCTTAAAGATTTTTCAAGTATGGAAAATTTTTAGCTACTCTTTCTTCAAATATTTTTCTGCTCCTCCTCTCTTTTCTACTCTACTACAATTTCAATTATATGTATGTTAAATCACATGACTGATCTTGAGACGCAGATCACTGAGCCTCTATTTCTTTTAGCTTTATTTCCCTCTGTACTTCAGTTTAGAATGTTCCTATTGCTTTGTCTTCAAGTTCACTGACCTGTCGTTTTCAGTATACTTAAGCCCATCCAGTGAATTTTTTATTTCAAGTATGATATTTTTCAGCTCTAGAAATTTCTTTTGGTTTTACACATAGCTTTCATTACTTTTCTCATATTCTTATTTTCCTTTAAATACTTAAGCATATTTTAAATAGCTTTTTCTTTAATAGACTATTTTTAGAGCAGTTTTAGGTTCACTGCAAAGTATACTAAAACTCAGATATATGCACAGCCTTCCCTAAAATCAACATTCTGCACTAGTGGTACCTTTGTTACAGTCAATGAAGCTACATTGACAAATCATTATTGCCCAAAGTCCATAGTTCACATTATGAATAATGTGAACTATGGACTTTGGGCAATAATGATTTTTTTTTAGGCGAGGCAACTTTTGATTGATCTTACAGATTGCAAGGACCTTCTCAGTTTACACTCCCTTATTTTATATTTTTTATGCCTACAGCACCTGGTCTTCCTAAGCAGTTTCCCATCCAAGTACTAACCAGGCCCGACCCTGCTCAGCTTCCGAGATCAGACAGGATCAGGCTTGTTCAGGGTGGCATGGCCGTAGACTTAGGGGTCACTTTTGGTGATGTACATTCTATGTATTTAAACATTATAGTATCACACAGAATAGTTTTATTGCTATTGCCTATTCATTCTTCCTAACTCTCTAATCTCTGATAACCACTGATCTTTTTCTTGTCTCCACACTTTTGCCTTTTCCAGACTGTCATGCAGTTGGAAACATACATTATGTAGTCTTTTCAAATTGGCTTCTTTTGCTTAGTAATATATACTTAAGTTTTCTCTGTGTCCATTCATGGTTTAATAACTCATTTCTTTACAGTACTGGATAATATTCCATTGTCTATATATACCACAATTTGTTTATTCACTCACCTACTAAAAGGCAGCTTAGTTGCTTCAAAGTTTTAGCAATTATCAATAAAGTTGTTAATAAACATCTGTGTGCAGGTTTTGTGTGGATATAATTATTCAGCTCCTTTGGGTAAATTCCAAGGAGTACTATTATGGACCATATGGTAACAGTATATTTAGTTTTGTATGAAACTGCTAAACTATCTGCCAAAGCTGCAAGAACCATTGTGCATTCTCACCAGCATTGAATGAGAATTCTTGATACTCCACATCCTTGTCAGCATTTGATAGTTTCAGTATTTGGATTTTGGGCATTCTAACAAGTGCTAGTGGTGTCTCATTGATGTTTTAATGTGCAATTTCCTAATAACATATGATATTGAGCATCTTCTTATATAGTTATTCGCCATCTGTATATTTCTTTGGTGAAGTGCCTGTTAAGATTTTTAGCCATTTTTAAATCACACTGTTTTCTTATTGTTCAGTTTTAAGAGATTTTGAATATTTTGGATAAGAGTCCTTTATCAGATATGTCTTTTGCAAATATTTTCTCCAGTCTATGACTTGACTTCTCATTTTCTTGAAAATATCTCTCATGAAGCAGTTTTTTGTTTGTTTTTTGTTTTTTTGTTTTTAATGAAGTACAACTTAATAATTATTTCTTTCAATGGATCATACCTTTGGTGGTAAATCAAAAAATCCGTCACCATACTCAAGGTCATCTAGATCTGTCTTGTGTTGTCTTCTGGAAGTTGTATAGTTTTGCATTTTACATTGAATCTATAATCTATTTTTAGTTAATTTCTGTGATGAGTATAAGGTCTGTGTCTAAATTCTTTATTTTGCCTGTAAATGTCCAATTCTTCCAGTACTATCTGTTGAAAAGATTATCTTTACCTTATTGTATTGCCTTTCCACTTTTGTCAAAGATCAATCGACTATATTTATGTGGATTAATTTGGGAACTCTTTATTCCGTTCCATTAACCTATGTGTTTATTCTT